GGGGTGCCAACGGCGGACTGACCCACGCACGCGGGCCAAGGCCATCGTATAATAGCCGCGTCGCGCGTTGGTGCCAAAACCAGAACGCGCCGGCAGAACCCAGCCTGTAGTATTGATGTGCTTCACCGTGATCATAACACATTTCCAAACGGTAATTCACTTTGATTGTCCCGTACCAAAACATTGCAGGACGTAGGTTGGAACGGGGCACTGCGAAGTTCATCCCCTCTGGTGGAGAGTTTTCCTGGAACCCGAGGCCGGGTCCCACATCACGCGCCGACCTTCGTAACGCTAGAGGGCCGTCTACACATGCCTAGCGCAGGTGCCTGCATCAACGCTCCTCCATTCCGGAACCTCTGGGCGGCTGGCTCGAGGCCTGAACGAGAACAAACCTCGTTACTAGCGCCATCGATTTCTGCCGTTCGCCGCGAGTTCACTTTCGAAGTCTGATTTGGTTGTGGCGTGCCCGGCTGCGGCCGATCTGTGCTGCGTCGAGGCCGGGTCACATCAGCCCGCCCGCCCCCCCCCCCCCCCCCCTCCCACGACAGGCGGACCAAATGATTTGGACGCTCGCTGTAATGAGCGCGGCAGTGGCACGCTTTACGAACGAACGAGATGGATGTGGGGATGAGGGATGGGGGATGGGTGGGGATATGGCGCATCCCAGGGCGCCCCAGGCCCACTTCGCACATGGACATTTGCCGCACTGTCGTCCCACCAAGACTCCCTTCCAAGAAGCCAGGACACAAAAGGCCCCAAAACATACGTAAAGCGGCGCCCTCAAGCCCCGATGAATGAACGATGCAAAACCCAGACAGAGAAACATCCTAAGCCCAGATAGACAGCATTCCTAGCCGGCATCGAGGAACAGTTCTAAGCCCGGGAAGAAGGCGTTCCAAGTCCATGTGGAGGGGCGTCCGCCAGTCCCAGGCGGGCCCACATCCCAAGCTTACACAGAAAGGCGCAAGCCTAGGCGGAGGGATGCCCCAGACTCCAGGAAGGGTGGCACTCATAGTAATGTTAGGGGAGCGGTCCAATGCCCCGACAGAGTGGAGCACAAGCCGCTGAAAATGAACACCCTCAATCCTTTGGGAAGACGGGTCACCCAACCCTGGGTACAAAAGCACCTGCCCTCCTTCCCCCCCCCCCCCCCCCCCCCCAACTAAGCCTAGCAGAGGCGCTCCAGAATTCCTGTAGAGGGTCACCCATAGAACATGAAGCGGAGGAGCGCCGCAGGTCGATACGGAAGTATACGCAAGCCTACACGATACATGGGAGTCCATGAGCGTACCTGCAGATCTCCCCCCCCCCCCTCTTCCCCAAGTCCCAGAACAGATGTACTTCTTAACACGCGCCCGGGTGGCCGGCTAGATACCTTTCGCTTCGGTGGGGGTCAATTTGAGCCCCCCCCCCTGAGATCTCGGGAACTAGAGGAGCTAGAGACACCAAACTTACAGGGTATGTTGACCTGTACGTGAACCCACTTAGGTCAAATTTGGGGTTCCTGGGTCATGACCTTCGGGTCAAATAAGGTCAAACAACGTCAAATTTCAGGTTGGTCTCCAAAGTGCCCCCAGAACCTAGCTAACTGTTTAGCAAGCAAACGGTCACACGCTCAGTAAAGGTCATTGACCTTATTTCACCTTCTGAGGTCATGGTGACCAAAATCATCAAGACTGCTCTGAGTTTTGCATTTGAATAAGCGATAGCAATTACGCTAGGCGGTATATCTCTAAAAATAAAATGTTGACCTGGGTCATTTTAGGTCAATGACCTATTATAACCTCTAAGAAGTCCATGGCAGATGTATAATGCGTTCCTGCCATCAAAAATTAGAAATGAGCACCAAAACTAACCCCACACAGCAAGCCCTAGAGCAGTAAAACAGGTTGGTTTTGACCTTGGTCTTACCTTCATACCTGACCTTAGATCAACGTTACTTGTTCATTAAATATTGGTGCTGCCTAAGAAAGCATCTCAGAGATGGATGGCTTCGTCTAACACTCCGTTGTTTCATCAGATTGAACGATTCCCTAGAAATTGACTTCGCTGAAACCATGGCCTGAGTTTGACCTGCCATAGGTAACCGACCTTACAAGGCACACCTACATTTTTCTACCAAACGATCCGCTATTGAATTCTCTACAACTATGCAAAATTTGGCGCGGATGCACCGCCCCGTTCGGAAACCATTCTGGAAAAATCTCCGGGGGGGGGGGTCAACTTGGCCCCCTCCACCCGAGCGCGTGTTAATCTGCACAGGGGGGGGGGGCGTACATGTTGGGAGATGAGCATTCCGAGCCTACGAGGCATCGTGACTCAAGGTCTACGCGAATCCACGCTCAGACTTATCTAGGCACCCCAAACGCTCGTACAGGTGCGCCCGCAGGTCTGGGTGCAGGAGTGTCCCCAAGCCTACGTGCAAGGGCGCCCTCCAAGCCTGGGTGCAGGGGTGCCCCCAACGCACCCCCAACTAAGTGCAGGGGCACTACAAACAAGCAGCAAATCAAGGCGACAAGCATACCGAGCCGGCTAGGCCTTTCTGGTGCCTGGGCACACACGGGAAATATCAACACCTAATGAAGGGTCTCGCAATGTCCAAACAACTTGAGGGCGAGGTCAAGTTCAAGGTGAGGCCTGACAGCACTCCGATGAGGGACGCTTGTACATGTCTAGTGATACACACGGATGCCACAGTAATGCCTCTGATAAATTGAAGGCGGGTGGAGATGTCCTTCAAAACAACGCAGAAGCATTCCACTTGTATGTGTGTCAAGGGTTCAGTGGAAGCGGATCATTACATCGTGTTTTTAAGTAGTTAGTTCACCTAACTGGACAAGGTCAAGAACGCTCTACGTTATTCGACCAGCAAACAGCGTCGATAAGCAACACCAGAATTCAACACGCAAAAACTTCCCCGTTCCACTCACGACAGCTGACACAATATTTTTCTAGCTAAGTGCAAAGTGCTCAAATTCGATCAAAATGGTCGCCACGGTTGAGCAAAATCCCATTTACAGAAGCCATTGATGTCGTCATCGGTTGTCGTGGTCACCTGGCCGTCAGAAGCTGGGTGCCGGGGACCACGCGGACGCACAACATTATCAGCCGTGCTGAGGATGTCAATCCGGCTTACCGACATTCCAAAATGTCACATATTCGGGCATACAGCGGGCACTTGCCGTTAGATACCACCGGGCATCCCGGCACGGTATGAGGATATCGCCGTCATAGCAGTCACCAGGTTAGTCTCCGCATTTATGTGCGGAGTATGACACTGCCTTCCCACGGGCGCACCTGTGCAGTGGAGCGACGGGGCGCTCGCCGGACGGGAAGGAGGCTGTTCGACCACACAGGGCGTACCTGTACAGTGGAGCGACGGGACGCTCCCGGGTGGGAAGGAGGCT